CGCCACCAGCGCCGTCATCTGCCAATTTGATGGATCGGTCAAGGAAGCCGATGGGGGTCTGTCCTGCTGGCAGCTTCTTGCTTGTTGGTTTCGGTCCCCACAAGAACCAGACACCCATGCGAGTCAGCCAATCAGACTGTCTTCGACCCTGCTGCGTCGCCAAGAGCTACGATTGGCTTCGGCGTGTGCAGACAAGTGGGGGAGGCACACGAAAATGTCCCACAAGTCTCTACCAAAAGAGCATCGCAGAAGGCCCTGCTGCTCAGGTTTAACCTAGCCACTAGGTAACACCCGAAGAGGCGCCAGAACGGATCGCCATTTTGGCCGGGCTCGCGCCGGGGCGGTCGACTGTCGACTTGGGTGGAGGGGAGCCTTTTCTGCTCGAGGCTGCGTCGTAGCCAGAGGAGGCAGGCCACTCGAGAGCCCTGCAGCAGCGCCATGTATGGGTGCTTCACACGGTTGGATGGATGCCGCACGGCCATCGACGGCGTGATTCGCGATTCGAACGCCGGGCTGGCTGTAACTCTTGTATTGTCAGTATGTAGCCAGAGGAGCCCCTCCCTCTCCACCCCCACGGCCCCGTCTCCAGTCACGGGCGAAACTTGGAGTTGCTCCATTGAGTTGCCTACTCCGGCGTGAGTGAGCCTGCCGTTGCAGGGACCCAAAAGAATTCGTGCTTTTTCGCTTTGCATACATACTACAGCCTTGGGAGTATCCGTACATGCGACGTGTATATTTCGCCATAGCTTGCCTTGGCTCGAAAGCCCCGATGATTGCTCGATTGTTGGCCGAAGTTGCGTCTGCAACCTGGGCTACCCGTTTCCTGTCGTGCTGGGTTAAATGATGTGCTCCGTGAAATTGAGATGTGGCCCCTTGGGTTCTCCGAGTCCGACCTGTCCGTGTTTGTTCCGTGATTGGAATGCGTTTGATTTCGTTTCATTACGGAGATGCACGGAGCTTCACAGCGGTCGGTGCTTGTACTAGTGTTCCTTCAACGCCGCCCACCTCCTCCCCCCCCCCCTCCCCTTTTAACCCCACCGGCCGCTTTTCTATTTCGGGGTGGGTTCAGTCTTGCTGGTCATTTGGACGATGAAAGATGCAGTGTGTTATGGGAGTAGGGTACGGAGTAGGGTACGGAGTAGGGTACGGGGTAATGTTACATGTTTCTGCCCATCAGCCGTGGATGGGGTATCATACCACGGAGTATAATCTGTTCTCCGTACCTGTCAGCCGCACCGTCTCGGCCAACCGGTGCAGAAGATTTCGTCGACCCTGGCCTTGTTATATTACTGGATAGGGAAAGAGGAAGGATGGGAGTGGTAGGTAGGGTATTTACGAGGTATTGCGTGCCTCGTACAGGTATTGCAGACATTACCGAGTAAATAATTAGTCGCACTCGGTGCCGATACGTCGTCATGTCCGGACGTACGTTACTTGGAAGGGCACTATTAGGGCTTTGCTATGACTGGGGAACGGGGGGGTGGGGTGTGGTGATGGTATCTTGCTGCAAGTCTTTTCTGTGGTTAGAGAGAGAGGAAAAAAAAAAGGCGAGTTGAGAAACCCGCCGACAGTTTGTCCGGAGGGTACGGCTAGATGGCATCCCCACTATTTGGTATACATGTATATGCACTCGTAGGTCTTCTTGGACCGAGATACGTAGCTTGCAAAGAAAAGTCTTGATACATCGGCCGTCATCGGGGCGGGTGATTTACTGGTAATAACCCAAGTACAAGTACAGATCACAGTCGAGGCATTGAGCGTTACGGAGTAGCCGGATATAATTACTGGTAGATGGGGGGTAAATTTTGCCTGCGATACCTCTGTGTGAGATAAGGACTCAAGTTGCAGGAATTGACAATTGATGACGGTCATAAGTCATGCATAAAGTGCATTGAGGGACAGAACACGAGTAGTTTCGTCGATAAGTCCTACGCATACGAGTACGGAGAGTAGCAAGTACGAAGTAGTCTCTTGCTCTCCTCCCTTGGGACCCGAATTATTCAAGGGTGACTGAAGTTAGGCAAAAAGGATATTGAATGCTACGACGTAATGATACATGTATACATGTAATCCGTACAGATTACGGAGAGTGTGGCCATGTACCCTTTTTTAGTACTCTACCCACTGTTTTACTCTGTTAAGCCGCCCCCCCCCCCCCCCCCCCCCCCCCCCCCCCCCCCCCCCCCCTTGGCCTGCCTGGTACTCGGACATTCCCCACCTTTTCGCATCGGACATGATGCTGGGGGGGGAGGGTTCCACGGTGCGATCCTGGAAGTAGAAATCGAATTTACTACATGTCTACTGTACATGTCGGCAGCTGCGCCGGGAAAGGGTCATTGATTAGATGGAGATTTGAGATTGGGTTGAAGAGAGAGAAGGGGAGAGAGAGAGAGAGAGTGTGTGTGTGTGTGTGTGTGAAGTATGAGTACGTATGTTGGGTGAGAGAGGGAGAGAAGGAGGGAGTGTAGTGCGTGGAAGATTCTTTCGTCTTTCCATAGGCAGGAACGAAGAGCAGCGGGGGAGAGGAAGGAGCAAGGCATCAAATCATCTCCAGCAGAGGAATCGACGTTACGTAGCCGGAACGACTCTTTCGAGGGTGGGAGTGCCAGGCTAGCAGCAGCACTATCACTATCACTAGGTGACTAGCAAGTGTGGTGTGGCTAGCAGCTGTGGCTAGCAGCGTTTCAGAGGACTTTCCAGGACTTCCAATGGGTTCGATGCACCTCCCAGCAGGTAGGGTCCCGAGTGGTATTACTCGTGCTAGCGCGGGTGCTGAGAGTGCCTGGTAATATTATAGCGTACATGTACGAGTAACGGTATCGATGACGGGCATCGTCATCGGACGGGATGGACTCTGACCTTGGCCAGTCCCCTCTGTCGGGCGTCTGCTACTCCGTACGGAGCGTAGCATGGACTCTGGGGCAGAGAAAAAAAAATTGTAGAGGAGAACAGGACCGAACCCGGCGAACACCTACTCCGTACGTGCTCCGTCAGAGAAGACGTATTATTGCTACTATAACTGATAGTACTCCGTACTGCATACATACACACACACACACACGTATATATATATATATATATATATACGTACTACCATACTACCATCACTATTGCATACATCTATATACGTACTCTGTCCAAGCCAAAAAAAAAAAAAAAAGAGGGAAAAGAAGCCAAGGCCAGCGCCACCACCCCAATTCTTCAATCCCACCCTGGGCTGGTCAACCCTGATACTTGTTCTCGTTTTTCTTCCTCTCCCTTCCCTTTGCCTCCGCAGCACCCGCACCCGCCCGCCGCATCACGTATGAGATGAGTTACCGGGGAAGTACGAGTACGGGTAGTCTGTAGTAGTAGTAGTAGTAGTAGTACTGTACAACCGATAAGACCTTTACGTTGCAGTCTGTTGCAATGTCTTTCTGTCGCTTTGTAACTACCATGGAGAGTGGATACACACAGAGAGAGACGGAAGGAGAGAGAGAGAGAGAGAGAGAGAGAGAGAGAGAGAGGAGAGGTACCTCTCACTCTAGAGCTACTCTGCACGATACCCACCTACATGCACCACGGGCCACCCACACCCGCGCAACCCACACCCCATCGCTTCTCTCCGCTCCTGCTCCTGCTCCTCTTCCTCTCCTCACTTCAGAATCCACCCACGCGCGCACAAACGACAACCCTCCCCCCCCCCCCCCCCCCCCCCCCCCCCCCCCCCCCCCGTGGCCCCGAGAATCCTTGACCCAGAAGGGGGGGACCTTACGTAGCTGTACAACTAGTACTCGTACCTAAACCACCCTAGTTCAAACCAACACAGCCCTGGACCGGCCTGCCCGCTATTGTTTTAAGCCCCATTGCTTTTCTCTTGATTTTTGATTTTACTCTTGATTTCCTCTTAATTCTTTTAATTCTTTTTTTTTTCTTCATTAAAAAATAATCCCTGATTTTCTTTTTTCTTTTTAAAACGGAGTACAGGTGGTGGTACTCGTACTAACGGACTAATAGCCACAACCCCACTGAAAGGCAACGGCATCACCCTGGGCCTTGTGTATGCGTGTCTGTGTCTGCCCTGTCCTTCTGTCCCGTTGTCCATTGAGCTCAGTCTTGTCCAGCGGCAAGCCCCCAAAGTAACCCTTCTTGTGGTTTCATTCGGTCACAACCGGCCCCCCCCCCCCCAAGCTAATACACATCTCTGCTACTCTTTACCATTACGAGCACCAACTCACTTCTCTCTTACTCTCGGAAAGCCAGCCATATTATTACTACAACATCTTCCTCCCCGACAAACCACTTTTTCCCTTCTTCCTCTTCCTCTCCTTCTTCCTTCCCTCCCCTCCTCCCCCCTCCAAAACAACACAGACTCACCACCCAAAAGATATATAACACAACAAACGACCACCACCTACCCATCCTCGGTCCATCGGTGCCTCGTCTCTCCCCCTCCCCAAGGCTGCAACTCGAGTACAGCCTTGTCCTGTCCGCCACCAACACCACCATCACCACCACCACCACCAACAACAACAACAACAACAACAACAACAACAACAGCAGCAGCAGCAGCAGCAGCAGCAACAACAACAATAACAACAGCATCGTCAACCTCGGTCGCGACCGTCAGCATCAAGCTCGCCGCCCGACTAGTTCACAATCACATCTCTCACCACTACCGATCACCAATCTTCCCACCCGCCCACCCGTGGTTCAAGTCATCCACTACTACCAACAACCTCGACACAATGATCATTGACGGAGAGAAATGGGCTTGCGAGGCTTGCGTACGCGGTCACCGCGTCAGCAACTGCCAACATTCGGGTGAGTTCTCACGACCAGAGCATCTGGCCAAGAATCCAACAAGACACGCAGAGAGAGGGAGAGAGGGAGAGAGAGAAAGATAGAGGCGCACTGGCTGGCTGCATCAGTCCCACGGCAGCTTGCAGGACAAGAGAAGACAATGTGCACGCACGCACGCACGCACACACACACACATATATATATATATAGGCACCACACATACCTCTCTCTCTCTCTCTCTCTCTCGCGTCGGCTTACTTCGAACCCTTGCATGAAAGAACATGAGCTACCCGAACCTGGTACGCTGACACGGACATGGGAAACCTCGGCAGAACGACCGCTCCAGCACATCAACAAGAAGGGACGTCCAGTCTCGCAATGTTCGCACTGCAGAGCCATGCGCAAGTCGCGCTCGTCGCACATCAAGTGCGACTGCGGTGAGAAGACGAGCAAGTGCACCCACCTGCAGCCGACGGTCGACGGCCACACCGAGACGTGCTGCTGCAACCACGGCGGACGGTGCTCCTGCTCGGCCAAGAAGGACGGCAGCGGCAGCACCGCCTCCTCGGCCTCCTCCGTCACGGGCACCGCAGGTCAGCAGCAGCCGACGCTCGACACCGTCCCGGAATCCGACTCGGACGGCGAGCTGCCCAGGATGGCCATGAGCCGACCCAAGCTGGCGGCCCGCCGCCGCCGCGCCAACACGGTCCACTCCGACGGCCCCCTCAGCCTCGAGCACGGCGGACACCACTCCAAGTCCGGCAGCGGCAGCAAACACGGCCGCTCCTCGCAAAAGGTCGGCCCGTACCAGCTCAACCGCGTCAACTCGGCCAACAGCGCCAGCAGCCTGGGCGCCGGCTCCGACACCATGGCGGAGCTCCGAGGAAGTCAGCAGCGTCGCGTCAAGTCCGAGGCCACCTCCCCCCTCATGACTGGCTTCCACAACAACGTCAACAGCAGCGGCAGCAGCAGCAGCAACAACAACAACAACAACAACAACAACGATGGCAGCAACAGCGGCAGCGGCAGCGGCAGCGGCGGCAGCAGCAGCAGTGGCGCCGGCGGCGTACCCCCCCTGGACCTCTCCAGCATCGACTACCCGTCGTCGTACATGAACAGCAGCAACGGCAACGGCCGCAACAACGGTGGCAGCGGCGGGAGCTCCTTCGACCTGTTCGGCGCCGGCTTCTCCCCGGACACCGACGCCCCCCTCTACAGCGCCGGCCTGAGCAACGCGTCGGTCGACTGGAGCCACTACGACTTCCCCGGCGACAGCTTCGGCCCCTCGAGCTACAGCCAGACGGGCACCCAGAGCTTTGCCAACTTCACCGACTTTGGCAGCAACTCGGAGCATCTGCCCCACCTGGTCAACACGACCTCGACGTCCGGCGACGTCTCCGAGGTGGAGGACGTCATGTCCGGAGCGGACGACTTTGCCGGGAGCTTCATGCGTCAGGGCATGCTGGGCGGCGGCGGCGGCGGCGGCGGCGGCAACGCCCCCGCCGACCTGAGCAGCATAGACTACGACAGCTTCTACAAGGGAGCCGCGGATCACAACCCCATTGCCGGCACGGGAATGTCTCTGGTGGAGGACGACCCGGCTTTCTGGATGCCGAATTACAATGACGGTATCGTTGGTGAGAGTCCAGATGGTATGGAGCAGACTTCCCAGCCTGCCTCGTTTTGGGAGCTATAGTTTTTTTTTTCTTCTCCTCTTCATCATCTTCTTTGTCTCTTCTTTTTTTCCTCTCCCCCTCCCCCCTTCTTGTTTCTTATCTCTCCCTGTCTGATTCTATTCGACGTTGAAAGGAAAAAGAGACGTTCACCACCCCTCCCCCGGCCTCCACCTCCCCAAAAGAAGAAAAAAAAAGAATAATGTGCAGAGCCGTTTGTCTTTTTTCCCCTCCCCCGTCTTCTGCCAGTATATTATCAATTACACTGTCAGTTCATAGGGAGAAGAAGAAGAGAAAGACATGCTAGCCCGGTTCAATGTTTATATCTGTCTCATCTTGTCTAATTCCTTCCTTCTCATCATTTTCATATATCCCTTTTTTATCTTTGCTGCTGTTTACGTTGGTCCTTTCAGATAGACCTCATCGTTCTTGTCTGGCTTGTGAGATGCAAAAGAAAAAAATCCGGGGTGTTTGATTTGTGTTCTTCTCTTTTCTTCTCCTTCTTTACATCTCCTTCTCTACATTCTATACCTTGTTGTCCTTGCTGTCTTTTATGGAAAACCCGAAAAAAATCAATCTTGTATGATGTGATGAAGTATCAAGAGAAGAGAAAAACGGAGTTTTTGAGGTGTTTTTTTTTTCTTTTTTCTTTTTTTCTGTTTTTTTTTTCTTTTGATGAAAAGAAATATTTTTGAAATTTTACCAAAAAAAAAAGTATGATGTCTTTTTTTTTTTTTTTTTACGTGGGTCTTTGCACAATCTGATGGTGTTTTCTCTTTCTTATATTGGTCTGGTGTTCTTGTCATGTTAGAAATGAAGTTGATGATTTCTCTCTCTCTCTCTCTCTCTCTTTCACGGGTTTTTTTTATATCTCTATATTATTCCCCACCCCTCCTGCATGAACTTTTTATATATATAATATCAGGTGGGAACAAGATTATCCGGTGGTTGATAACATGAAGAATGCTACATATATGATATATGTATACATGATTTCCATACCCTTGCACCCTTGGCGTTGGACAGTTTTTTCTTTTTTCTTTTTTTTTCTTTTCGGTTTGTTATTATCAGTAACTCCGTACGGAAGTACGGAGTATCACTACGTACTATCAGTCTGTTACATTCCGCGTGTACTGAGTACAGTGCAGTGGTTGAATGGGAAATTACGATATTACAAAACTTGCTAGGTTCTACTTGCGATCTCGATGACAGGAAATTCTGACCCGTATTATCACCGGCTCTTAACCCACCTCCTCCTAACCTCCTAACCTTGGACTTTAGCTGACTCGTTCCTCTCTTCCCTTTCATAGCCCACAGATGCCGCAATGGATGCCGCGACCGGGGAAGAGGCTTGATACCGTCGAGTCTACGGATACCCCCCTCCCCCTAGAACGGTAAGGAAGGTCTTGACTTGATATCTAGCGGAAGCTAGCAAAAAAAAAAAAGGAAAAAAAAAGAAAGAAAAAAAAAGTAATAAAAAAGAAAGAGTAAAATGATGTGGTAAGATGAGCATGTCCGATCTCGGCAGTGTTACGCATGCAGCGCAAGGGCCAAAATGCTACTCATTTCTTTTCTTATAGAACCTAGTATCTAGTATTAGCCATGATAGAGAATATAGTAGTCATGGTCGTATAACAATGCATGTTTTTTCTCGGTTTATATTATATATATATATACATATATACATATATATATATACAGGCATAACATTAGAACCATCTTCTACGGGGTCGAAGCAATGCTCGTTGAATCCGAGAAGACCCCCCCGCTGCTGGCTGGCCTGATCTCTCGCTGTGATATCTGCTCAAGAAGAGAGAGAGAGAGAGAGAGAACGTCACCTGCCACATGACGACGATCGAGCTGTGGAAGCGTCGGTTCGGTCATGGGACTGAGAGTTGTGATTCCGTCCCTGTGCCTTGTTCACGGCACCCAACGTACACGGAGAGCACATCATGACCGAGAGATCCTTGGCCGCGATATCGGCAATGGGAATGGGTGGGGGAGAAGGTGAATATATATATATATATATACATATATAAATATAAAAATATAAAATTTAAAGAATATAAAAATGAAACATGACAAAAATACATGCTTTTTGCTTTGCCGTTCCATCAATTGCTTTCATGGTCGAGTCACTTGGTATTTGCCGTTGTAGGAAAAGGAGAGAGAGAGCACGTCACACGGTGGCCTCCACGTTTCTTCATGTCGTTGCCTCTCCGAGTGAGGTTTTTGCTACGACCGAGAGAGAGAGAGAGAGAGCGAGGCAGAAAAAAAAAAGACTGAGAGATTGCAAAATACACACACACACACACAGAGAGAGAAGAGTGGGCATGACGCTTTTGTTACCTCTACCGTAAAATCATGGTAGTAATAATACATGTGTTCCTTTTCATACAAGAGGAGGGGAGTGTCCCTTTGGAAGATAGGATAAGATGGGGGGGGGGGGGTAATACTTTGCGCCCGAGCCGTAGATGGGAATAGAATATCAGAGCAGACATGCCTTTCTATCTAGGGAATGGTCAGATATCCCTGGATGAGTGAGGGATAGGCCATCTTGCCCGTCGCCCCGGCATTCTCGGCACCCTCCTTCTGCCCCGTCGTAGCCAGGTCAGCCAGGTGCTGGAGGCTGGCGGCGTCACCCGTCAGCGGCGCTGGCCTCGAGGCCTGGTCGGCCAGCCTGTCCCTGATGGAATCCCACACGCCTCCGGGCCGCTCGAGGAGGTCCCTCATGAGCTGGAGGGCCTCGTCGCGCGAACCCTCGTTGCGCGAGAGCCACGAGAGGGCCAGCGCGACCAGGAAGCCGAAATGGTTGGTCAGCGGGCTTCGCATGTCGGCGTCGGCCGACAGGAGGTTGACGAGCTCGCGCGTGGGGGCCATGAGCTCGGTCCAGTGCAGGCCCGACGTCAGCAGGGCCACCAGGATCCGGCAGTGCCAGAAGCCCAGGTGCACCAGCGGGTGCGTCTCCGGCGTCACGTGCGCGGGTTGGTCCTCGCGGAAGTTCTCGACGTAGTCGGCCATCATGCGCGCCACGAGCGGGTCGGCCGTCGTAGCGTCCGCCGGCAGGGTGGCTACGACCTGCGAGATCTTGCTCTGTACCTTGGATAGACCTATATAAGAGAGCCGTCAGCGGGGATCGGGACCGCGAGACACATCGGAAAAAGAAAGAAAAGAGAAGAGAAGAGGACGGAGGAGGGTGAGTTTCGTACGCAGAAGACGGCTGCACGTCTCGCCCAGGATCGTGTCCAGATCAGGAGGCATGACGACGCTGCTGTCGGGGATCAGGACAGGGCTCCCCGTCCCCACGGCGTGCCATCGGTCCATCAGCACGAGCGACCACCAGATGCGGATGCCGAGGTTCTCGTCCGAGTCTGCGTCCGACCCGGGCTGCGGGGCCGTGTACCGCCAGAGCCTCATCGTGTTCGCCAGCGAGACGGCACGGCCCAGCAGCGAGGGGAGCGTCGACGACGACCCTCGCCAGTCGGCATCGATGAGGAGCAGCAGCAGTGCCTGCGCGTGCACGATATTGGTGGCCTGTGACGGCGGCGAGTCGCTGCTCTCCCAGCTGCTCAGGAGGAAGTTGGCCAGCTTGACATTGCCCGACGACGACTGCGCCACGGCCAGCAGGGCGTTGGCAAACGCCGTCTTCACCAGCGGGTTACATGCGGCCAGGAGGCTCTCCAGACGAGCTTGGCTGTGGGGCAGGATGGGGTACAATCCTTGCAGGGTGGCGAGGTAGCTGGAAGCACCGGGTCGTCAGTACATGCATACCGTCTCGCGATCAGTTGAACCAGGGGTTGGGGGAGGGGGCTCACTCTTGCAGAACACCTTCGTCCACATCTATCACGTCGTCGATAGTAGCCTCCATCGGCGCATCCATAGGTGCCATCGCCGTCTTCAGCGTCTCGTCCAGCCTGGGGGCAATGGGCTGAGGCGCGAGCGATGAGCTGTCAAACGGCGTGGCGGGTTGACCGTCCTGTGAGTGCAGCGGCCGTGCGGAGTCTGGCGCCCAGGGGGTCTGGCGTGCAGACATGGGTGACTCTATCTCGCCGCCCGAGATGCTAGAGTAGTGCCGTTTCCTACCCAGGTCATCGCCGACGTTGCTGTGACGCGGCTGACGGTCACCGAACAGTCCGCTCAGATCCTCCTGGGTGAGACCGCCCTCCGTGTCGAGCTTGTTCTCGATGCTGTGAATACGATCGGCCAGTTCTTTGATGTATCTGCCATATCACAACATAGACCGTCAGCAGTGTATCCTTCCTGTGAGCAGGATTCCGTAAAACATGGGTATGTGCATCCTGTACGAACCCCTTGCTAGGACCTCGCTTCTGCGGCACCCTGCTGAAAAGGCAGCGAATGTTGGAGCGGGAGCAGCTTGAGCAAGGCGCGTCGCCCGTGTCGGTCTGCGCGTCACACTTGATCTTCTTACGGCGACACTCGTCGCAGGCGCGCGACACCTTGGACCGCTTCCGCGGCGGGATGTTGTCGCCCAGACTGTAGTGGGGGGGGAGCTGAGCGACCTGCAGCCCGTGGGTGATGATGGATTCGGACGTGGGCGTGTCGTGGATGCCATACGCCGGCGTCTGCTGGTGCTGCTGGTGCTGCTGGTCGGGATCTGGGTGCGGCATGATGTTGCGGAGGCTCGACTCGTCAACGCTCATGTTGGCGTCCGACGGCGGTATCATGGGCGTCCCCGTGAGGCCCTGTCCCAGCTGCGCCGCCAGCTGGAGCTCTTCGATGTTGGCGGGGCGCGTACTCTGCTGCTGCTGCGGCGTCGACGGCTCCGGCTGCTGGTCGTGGTGATGAAGCTCCGTCGTCCCGTCCTGCTTCAGCGCAGTGTGGTCTGCCAGGCCATCTTCCGCGACACCGCCTCCGTCATGCTGCTGGTGTTCGGGGATGTGGTCGGCTTGTTGCTGCTGGTCCTCCGGCTGCTGGTGCTGTTGTTGTTGGTCCTCCATGCCATCTGGCTGCTGGTCATCGCGCCCCGTCGGCTGATAAAACGGTCCGGCATCCATGGGTTCTGCACCTGGGGACGGGTAGTGCATGTCATCGGCGCCCTCGACATTGTCATCTCGTTCGGGGCTCATAATGTCCTCTTTTTTTTTTTACGCGCGACGCTGCTGCGCTGCGCGGCTCTGTACGCGCTACTATTTTCCTTCTCTCTATCCGTCTCTCCGAGAAACTGCACCAGGTAGCTGCTGCGTTCAGAGAACAAGGCCAATCAGGATAGACAGCGTCCCGACACCAAGATATCGCGGTTGCTACTAGAGACAGGGAGCAAAGGCCCGTGGTCAGCGACATGTTTGGCGATGGTGGCATTGCCCGTGCCTACGTCTAGGAAATCTAGGTACGCGACAACGAGGTGATGGCGGTGGTCATGATGGCGAAACAACAGCGCCAGAGGTAATTGCAACGGAAAATGGTTGAATTGTGCAGCATGGCGAGCTGTTGCCATCGTGGACATGGATATGGACTTACAGTAGCCGGATGATTGATAATTGCGATGCGACGCGGTCGCGTCCTTGGTCAGCGGAATAGGAAGAACTCGGCCCCGTGGATGGCGCCTGGTAGGTGAATCTGGTCGTGGGTAAGGATGTGGCCCATGTTCCAGCTCTCGGAGATGGAAGAATTTTTCGGCATTTTCGGTAATTCTTCGGGTGAGTCCTGATAAGCTAACCGAGGTGCGGCCGTCTAGCGCAACAGGTCCCCGGGAAGATATACATGGGTGGCATCGCTAGTATTACTAAGCATAATACGGAGTACTCGGTGACTAATGCCTCTTTCAAGAGTCTTCCAAGTGAATATCTGTTCTTACGGTGAACGTTGTAATCTGTACAGATTACCAAGCTCCGCTCCAAACTGCTGAATAAGCTGAGGGAATAGGTTATTCCGGTCGATCAGACATGTCTCTGACAAATGGAACACTTGTACAGTCACTATTTCCCTTAGATAGATACAACAACAACCACATATTATCAAGAGGGCAGGAAGTAGCCGTTTTTCGAGCCATTTCTATCATTACATTGGTGAATATTCATTTAGATAGGTCTCTTTCTTTTGATCTAGAACCTCAAACGAGCATTTTACCGACCTTATTCCGCTGCTCCGTCTGACAACCTTCAAAGTCACATGATACTTCGAGCCACTCATGGACCGAGTATTATTTGCCATGCTTAGCCAGAAATAAGTGAAACATTCCCTCAGGCTGTCGGGCCTTCTCTTCTCTTTGCCTGCCATCGTCGTTGCATCATGACCTTCTTCTGCCTCTCCCGTGCTTGCCTTTGATGGCCGTGATATGCGGGCTCTATGAGGCAATCTGCTCGTGGCTGTTCGGTATCATTCTCGGTATTCGCTGACGCCCTACTTGAGCCACCACCCACTGCTCTCTCCTTGAATGCTTCAAAGACCAGCTTGTAGGAACTCGGGATGGGACAACAATTACAGGAGAGCTTGGAAACGGTATACGATGGCTCACCCGGAGCGCGGAGGCAGGACGCGAGTCTCCTGCAGGTGCAGAAATGGAGTTACCTTGAGGACGTTCCCACGGGCATCGACCCCTTACGGCAACTGCTTCAGGGATACAGCCACTTGCCTGCTGAGGAAGTCGACCGACACCTGTTGCGAATTGTGCGTATTGGTAATCAACGACCGGACATCTTCTGTTCTCCTGTGAAGCTGTTCCATTTCTCCGCGACCTATGCTGACAAAGAGGTGTGGGCTACACAAAAAAGAGAGACGAAGCCTGGAAACTGTGCCGGTTACCGTATATAGGCCGATGGCGATTTCTCAACTTGGTAAGCAGCGGCGATCCCTGCTACCAGCAAGCGCTGTTTCGCCTGAGGCTACCAGGGTCCAAGGACGCTCTACTAGATCTGGGCTGCGCCCTAGGCCAGACGCTCCGTCAGTTTTGCGCTGACGGGGTCAAGGGTCGGCGGCTGTTTGGGGTCGATCTGAGCCCCGAATTGGTAGACCTGGGATACGACATGTTCCGTGACAGGCAAAGCCTGGGTGCAACCTTTGTCGTTGGTGATGCGTTAGATCCGGATGACACCCGCCTCGCCCGGCTCGAGGGCCAGATTACGATGGTCCACGCCGACAGCTTCTTCCACCTTTTCACCTGGACCCAGCAGCTCTACATCGCCAAGCGCATCGTCGGCTTTCTCAAGCCGGGGACCAAGAACGCCATGGTATTTGGCACGCAGGCCGGCACGCTTGTCTCCGAGCCCCGGGACCGATCGTCAGTTCCGTCGCCGTCATCGCCGTATCTCCATGACCAGGAGAGCTTCCAGCAGCTTTGGGACACGGTCGGTGCCATGACCAACACAGCATGGGCTGTCCATGTCGAGAATGGTGGCACCATACTACCGCTTATGCCTGGTGTCGAGAAGGGCACGATTCCCATCAAATTCGCAGCATATCAGGTCCCTGTGAGGGACAACTATTAAAAAAAGGAGCAGGGGACGGAGGTAGTTGGGGAGAAGAGGGGAGACGATGCATGAGTGCAGAATAACAGGACGATTCCGATTCCGGTGTAACGTACAAATGATGACTTGCTCTTCCTTTTTTTGCATGAGCGCCTGTATGGTGAGGGATGCGGTCCCATATGCCGGTATTCGTACATGTATTCATGTAGACGTTGAGAGTTTTATTGTATTCCATATAGCGTACAGGAATAATATTACGTCGCGGTACAAGTTTCGGCCAATTCGTACTTCAAAGTTTCGTATCCGAGTCGGAGTATCAAGAGTAGTAGCGTAGTGGCTTGGATGTTGTACAAACCTACTAGCATTGTTGGTCCCGCTATTTATATACCAGATCTTAAGCGTACATCTAGTAGCAAATGTCAATTGGCAGTGAATATCAAGAGTACTCAAACACTCCAAGTTGAGTATTATATTATTAGTGTAGTACCAGTACTGCTATTGTTGATATGATCATATCATGGTGTTTATCTGAGGTAGGACTGCTAGAATTGTTGTAGGTTCTATAGTCAGGTGAAGGCGCAGTTGTGGCAACCTGGCAGGAGCGCCCTGTGGACCTCCTTCCTTAGTTAGAGTTACGAGTACCGAGATTTTTATCGCGTTATCGGAAGGAGCCACCGACCAATGCCGTCACCAAACGCCGGTGGATACCCTCTCGAGACAAAGAATGGCAAAGCACTCCCCGCTGCCCCTCGCGTCAGTCGCGACAGACAGCTCTTTGGGCGACCCCAGATATAACCATACCAGCTTTCGATCATCTTGCCACCGCAACCACCCCCCTTCCCCGACCCCTGTGGCCATACGACACAGCAATACTGTTTGCTGTACCGCCATCGGTTCGAGGCGGGTTCGACTCGCCGATCCCCTCCCGGATCTCTCCAAGCTATGGTCAACTGGATAATGAGCAGCCAGCCACCATGGATGGAGACTGGGATGAGGTACGTGACCCTCCCCTCCCCCTCAGGTCGAGCATCGCACGTGCATGCCTACATCCTCCTAGAATCTTCTGCCTATGCTCGTCATTGGTCATGGATGCCGAACCTGTCGAGCTGACGACTCCTTGTCGCATAGATCACCCGGGTTCCGTTCCCGCCCCCGGGGCCGCGTGCCCTGCCGACACCGGTGACGACCATGATATTTGATACCTTGCAGGAGCTATTATGGACAGGCAATGAATATGTACATGACATCCGCTGCCCTCCCGAGTAACGGGGTGTTCGGTTGAGAAGAGCCTTCTCTCTGACGTGGAACTAGGGCCGCGTCACCTCGTTTTATGGCACCGAACTACAACGCTACACATCCTTCAAAGCTCACACGGCCACCGACGGACCTGTTCGGCAGCTGTTAGTCAACGACCGTGGCATCATTTCTCTAGGGTCCAAGGACCTCCACATGGCCCTTCGCAGGGGCCCTCCGATATGGCACCTAAGGTACGTCGGGCTCGACGGTTCTGATCTGCCCTCCACCATCGCCGTCTTGGAGCTGACAGAGACGCGCCGGGAAACCGGAACAGAACAAATGACATGGTAGACCTTCGTTGCATGAGTTTTACATCCAAGGGGACATCGGAGATCATCCTGTCTGGTTTGCAGGACAGGATGCTCGTCGTCGACCTCAATAAGGGTGAGGTGACGAAGCAGGTACCCACCGACCATCAGTATACAATGATGCGGCGTGCGCGATACATCTGCGCCGCCACGAGCAATGGCTCCGTACATCTGCTAGACCCCGTCACGTTCGTCGTCATCAAGGTGTGGAACGCGCACTCGGCCTTGATCAACGACATGGACGCCCAGCACGACTTCATCGTCACCTGTGGCTTCTCACTACGCCCAGGTCACAATTACGTCCTCGATCCTTTCCTCAACGTCTTTGACATCAAGAAGATGTCATCGATGCCACCTATCCCCTTCCCAGCCGGGGCTGCCTACGTCCGTATGCACCCTCGCATGCTGACTACCAGTTTCGTCGTCTCCCAGAGTGGCCAGATGCACGTTGCGGACCTCATGAACCCAAACATTAGCAATGTTCGCCAAGCAAATGTCATCACCTACCTCAGCATGTTTGAGGTTGCCCCGTCGGGAGAAGCTATTGCCCTTACAGATGCCGATTGCCAGATCCACCTCTGGGGCTCACCATCGAAGCTTCACTTTCTCGATCTCGCCGCACCTATAGAATCGGCGACTCAGGAAGAGCCTATTCCACCCATCGACTTCTCGTCGGACATGTAAGTCGCCGAAGTTCTGGAACGTGTCGCTATGTTGAGATGACGGCCAGGTTGACAGAAGGAAACAGGCCCCTGAATGCCATCGGCATGCCATACTATCGAGAGGTCCTGGCTTCGGCCTGGCCTGAGATTTTGTGCGACGTTGGCGCCCCCCCTGTAAAGTACGATCCGCAATTTGTTGCATCGCTCAAGCAAACGGAGTTTGGTTACTACGGCGCCAATACCCGTGGTCTTCGAAGGAACCAGGTTGAGTACACACGCAATATCGATAAGAATATCAACGCCGGGCTCAAGGCGCCCAAGTTCCTCAGCGAAAAGGCCCGCGAGTCGGCCCAGTCGACCGCACCAACCTTGGACGACAGGGCAGACGAGCTGGCCGCCAGCGACTTAGTTATCGACAGCAAAAAGGCAGAGGTTCCCGTTATGTACCGCAATGTTGAGATCAAGTACAGCAAATTTGGCGTCGATGACTTTGATTTTGGGTGCGTGGTGATGGGAAGACATGCGAGCCCCCCGGTTTCTCTTTTGCCGACTGACACTCTTGTTCCCTCTGCAGATTCTACAACAAGACTCGCTATTCGGGTCTAGAGATTCACATTTCCAACTCCTACGCCAACTCTCTACTACAGCTACTACGATTCACTCCCTTGCTGCAGAACTTGGCACTGCAGCATGCCGCCACTGCTTGTGTCGGCGAGATTTGTCTCCTCTGCGAACTAGGATTCTTATTCGACATGTTGCAAAAGGCCGAGGGATCCATCTGCCAGGCCACCAACTTGCTCAAGACACTCAGCAACCACCCACAAGGTATGAAAGCCTGTCAGATGGGCACGTTTGTTGAAACGCCTGCTGATATACATTCTTCCACACCCTGTAGCTGCACCTCTAGGCTTGTTGGAGGAAGAAGCTCATGCGTCCTCTTTGAACGTGATGCTCCAGAGCTTGACGCGGTTCATGCTCGACAAGATTGCCGGCGACTACAAGCCACTGTCACCCAATCCCTCTGCCATGGAACAGGTCCTTACGACGGCCGCTACCACGGCCATCAGGTGCATGAATTGCCGAAGCGAATATACCAGGCCAGGGTCCACCTATGTTAACGACCTCTTGTATCCCTCACTTGTAAGGCGGCTCAGCCAGGACATCCGTAGTGATAAGGGGCTGACACTGTTCTTCTCTAGAAGACCCCTGGCCGGAACGCCAAGACACCTCGCATAACTTTCTCTCAGGTCCTCAAGAACAGTATCGAGCGAGAGACAACCTCTAAGGGGTGGTGCAGTCGCTGCCAACGATATCAGACGATTGCGACGAGAAAGACGATACACAGCATCCCTTCTGTGCTGATGCTCAACACGGCCATCACAAACCAGGAACATAAAATGCTCTGGGCCACACCTGGATGGCTCCCGGAGGAGATCGGCATCATTGTTGAGCAGGGCCAACTGTTCTGCTACGAAGGAGAAGATTTGAAGCTGCATCTACAACGTGGGATACACAACATTACAGTGTACTCCCTCATAGGGATGGCCGTCAACATTGATGGTGGTCAAACACAGAAACCTCATCTTGTGTCCATGGTCAACGGTATGTTCTCTACCATTCCGTTGCCGGCCGCAAACACATCCCAGCTAGGCAGCCCATGCTGACCTTCTGTCTACCAGTTGCACACTCTGAGCCGGAAGCTCCAGGGCGTAGCCAATGGCACTTGTTCAATGACTTCTTGGTCCGATCAGTCAACACAGAAGAGGCCCTCACATTCAACACCTCATGGAAGCTCCCCTCTGTGCTGGCGTACCAGGTCAAGGAGGCGAACAACAAGATTGACAGGGAATGGAAGAACTACATTGACACGTCGCTGCTCTACCAAGATCTCAAGTACGTAGTTCGATCCACTCGTTCCCCCCTCCCACTTCCAACGCATTGCTGACCAGTGGTCAGCCCGAACACGCCGGTTGAGGACAAGACATACCGCGTTCTATCACCCGAGACCGAACGTCCCGGTCCCGACACCATCATCGCCCTGGACACGGAGTTTGTGGCAGTGCGCCAGCCAGAGATCGAGATGAACTCTGACGGTGAGCGCGAGACGATCCGACCGATAGTATATGCCCTGGCACGAGTATCAGTCGTGCGCGGTCAGGGTGAGCATGAGGGCGTGCCCTTCATCGACGATTACATTGCTATAAGAGAGCCTATTGTCGACTACCTGACGTCGTACTCGGGTATCACCCAGCAAGACCTGGACCCTCGCACAGCCAAGCACTGCATCCTGCCGTTGAAAAAGGCGTACAAGAAGCTGTGGATCCTCCTCAACCTCGGCTGCAAGTTCCTGGGCCACGGTCTGAAGCAAGATTTTCGCGTCATCAACATCCACGTGCCCAAGACGCAGGTCATCGATACGATCGACCGCTTCTTCCTCAAGTCGCGCCTACGCAAACTCTCACTCGCCTTCCTGGCATGGTACCTCCTCAAGGAGGACATACAGATGGAGACGCACGATTCGATTGAAGATTCGCGCACGGCCCTCAAGCTGTACAGAAAATTCCTCGAATTCAAAGACGCAGGCATCCTAGAGACGATGCTCCAGGACATTTACCGCGTCGGTCGGGACGTCAACTTCAAGCCGCCGCGCAAAGATGGCCAGGGAATACAGCGCACCGACACGCCTCCCCTGCCCACAGACAGCAATGGAAACGGCACCTCCCGGCCGCCCACTACGCCATCACACAACGCGGCGACGCTGGTAAGCACACCTGGCTCTGGGTTTGGTGGTGTGAGTTGGACGCCAGGCAAGGGCTCTCCATCTAGATAGCGTGGATGGTCAGTCCGGGATGCACGAAGCAGTCGTAGGAATAGGAGGGTAGAGAAGCCAAGAGGGAAACAAGGAGACAGAAGCGAGAGAAGGAAAGAGGGAAGAAAAAAGTTAGAAATACAGCTCATTGACCCTATCTGTCGCGATTCTGTCAGTGATATCCCTGTAACTTTCGAAGGGGTAGGCATGTGTGATGTGTTTTGACATCATCTCAACGAGGTTTGAAGAGAAGAAAGAAAAACCAAGAAGTCTTGAACTAATCCACAATCTATATCCTCTCCTATCCCCATCACATCCCATCACATCCCCATGCTCCAAGTTCCAATCTTTCCCTTTTATTTCCATGATACCCTAGACGCCAAAGGGGGGGGGGGGGATAAATCAAACTCCAATAGAAAGGACGTCCCAAGAACCGAATATCAGTCAAATCAAGTCTTTCAACGAGGTTGTAATACCTCGTTTTCGAGAAAGGTGGATAGAGATTAAAAGAAAGCCGTAAAACGGTTGAATTTGGAAGAGGGGGGGGGGAGAGATTACCCACTCCTTGATATACTTTTTTTTCATTCTTTTCTCTTTTGTTGTTGTTCTTGATCTGATCTTGTTCCCTAATAAGATGAATGTATATATATATATATATATATATATATATATGCTCTCTCTCTCTCCCTCTCTCCACGCAAGTCTAGACACACGCGATACAAATAATTACCCCCACTTTTGAGTGCCGCCGCCGTCGTTTTGGGTGAAGAGAGGGGGGGTGGTCTCTTTCTCTCTCGCTTCTAGAAAGGAGGTGGTGTGGTATAGAATTTGGGGAGGGGAACGTGTGCATGATTGGTATAAACCTGATAATGTCGGGGCTCGTGGCGGCGACGACACGGTGTTTGCAGGAGGGGAGGAGTGGGTAAAACACGAGTAAGGCGGTACCTGTACTGGCAACGGCAGCGGCCGGGTGGAGGGGGGCAAGATTCATGGCGGAGATTGTTACGCTACAGCTCCGACTCGGCGCCGTTGGCGGACAAGGCCATTGGGCTGCCATTGTGCCGTTGACGTTGACGGAGGCGGGCGTCCCCCCTGACTCGTCGGCGTGTCGAGGACGCTGAGACCCCGGCCCTGCTGCCGTTGGTGTTGGCGGTGTCGCCCTCATCCTCGGTCTCGAGACCCTGCTCGGCGTACAGCCGAGCCTCGTCTAGCTCCGAGATGTTATCCGGGCGGTCGCGGAGCCACTGCATGCGGGGGCCAGAGCGAGCGCGCTCCGAGACGCGGAATCCGTAGACCTTGGGCTCGTATATGCGGCCCGGGCCGAGGCCGGGGGCAATGTTCTTTGCGTAGAAGCCGTTGAGGACAGTGGCTTCGCCGTGGATGCGCGAGGCGACATGCTGGAGCACCTCGGTTCCACGCTTGGTCAGGTCGTAGTCAGGGAAGGTGAGGAGGAAGAGGGCGCCAAAGGTTCGGCCGAAGAAGGCGCCGTCGACTGTCTGGAAGCGGCTGTTGGGCGGTACGTAGACGTCCAGGCACGAGGGGCAGAAAAGCTTAACCGTATCCTCTCCCGGGATGTCGGACAGGCCCACGGGTAAAGTGCGGGCCTGCTCGCAGTTAGTCCGGGGGCAGGTGCCAAAGTGGCCCAGCTCGTACTTTTCGCTCATCTGTTGGATCCCCGCCCGCGAGCAGATGAAGCGTTGGTGGATCAGGCCGTACAGCATCTCGGCCGACGATTCTATGACGGACAGGTCGCTCGCCATCCTGCTATGTTGCCGCCTCTCTCGTCCCCCGACACGCTCGCCGGCTTCTCCGAGGAACGTCTCGTCGTCTTCCTCTTCTTCTTCCTCATCCTCATCCTCGTCATCTTCGGGCTCAACATCGAGAATCATCTGCACATTGATAAAGCACACGTTAGTATCCAACGGGAAGGGAAGGAAACAGATTGGTGCTCTGCAAAGCCCATACCTCGAGAGCCTCCTTATACATGGCCACCTGGGTTTGCAGGCCAGTGAGGTTGAAGTCATCTTCGATGAACTCCTCCGACACCTCAGCGAAATACTCATGCCCTATCAGCGAGCAAAAGCTCGAGATCCACGACTCGGGAGCCGCAGAGGACGTCGACATGGCGTCCTGGTGTGAGTAGTGTGAAGGGAATAATTCCTCTCCACAGGAAGATGGGTGTTATATGTTGGTACGAAGGCACTCGGGGCAGAATGATATCTCTGCTTTGAATAGAAGCGCGTTGACGAAAAACCAATATTCCGAATTAGGCGGGGTGAGTGAGTGTCGCCGATTCGTATAGGTTACGCGCGTATCAAGTTGGTCGCTAGGAGACAGCGATGGGGGTCGGTAACAAGATTGTAGAGTATTGATGATCAAAGTCAGAGTATCATGGCGTGTCTAGACGCGTGATGTCTTAACTTCGAATCGTGTTGACCTTTCTGTTCTTTCTCTTGCGCGGACGGAACGCTCGCTGGCAGCGGGGGAAGCGTGCGCTTGTGATGGCGGCACACGTGGCGGAGTAAGGTCGAGAGAAGGCGTGAGCCAAGCGCGAACAACTAGAGAGGATGGAGTTCGGTGGAGGTGTATCGCGCAGCAGAAAAAAAAAGGAGGAAAAAAAGTGATATATTATGACGAAGTCAGAGTTGGACGAGAGACGGAGATATGATAGGTATGGGGATTTTGCAGTGGGATGGATGGAGATGGTGCACAGGTCGAAGCCCCTCCAAACCCTTCCAGCCAAACAGCAAACCGCCTAGCAATTAGGCGTCTTTTCTTCAGCTAGAAGCGGCTTGGCTCCTTCCTTCCTTTCCCTCTCCCTCGCTCCTCCCCTCGTTCGGGTCAGTGAACCGCCGGGGTTTTGCCGGTCCGAGCACTTCACCCTACAGCCAGTATTACTCAATCATCGTCACTCTACATCACATAGACAAGATTAATTCAATTCACCAGTCTGGCAAACATCCAATGTATCATTACTACTGTCGTTAATAACAATGAGACGCTCTTTTTTGAAAACCGCTTTGCGGTCATGGCGTTGCCGTCGTCATCACCAGCCTATTCTTACTACTGCTCTTCGGGGTCTGTCTACTGTACAGGTAGCTTCTGGGTCAGCAGCATCGTACGACATTGATACCTTCCGAAAGGCAGCTTTTACCCAAGAGAAGCCCTTTCACTTCAAGAATGACGGTGGGATACATGGTGACGGTGACAGGTCATTGCCTGCAGCTAGAAAATGGTTCTCGCTGGACGAAACCTCTTCGCCTGCTGCTGACATGACCCTCTCGCCGTACCTCGTCAAGTTCTCAGATGATGCCCCCTTCCCCTACGAACTGTACTCTCCACCTCCCTCATCGGCGGATTCGAAGTCGCCGGTGGCCGCTTTCTGCGAGTGGCTCTCACGAAGCGAAGATTTCCAGGACCAGATCCTAGCAGGTATCCTGCACGCCATCACGGCAGGCGGCCCGGGCGGTGGTGCGGGCGAGGGCTTCTTCCAGCTCCAGGCGCCTCTCCAGCTTCTGGCCAAGGCCCTCCTGTTCAACAGGGACCAGGTGTCCACTGGCCTGCAGCCGCTGCTCCTGTACGTTGCCCAGTCGTCCGTGTCGGACCTCCCGCAGCCCCTGCAGGCGGACCTTCCCACGCCGTCGTTGGTGCGCAAGTCCGGCAAGGGCGACGTGTACGGCTCAAGCATATGGATCGGTACGGAGCCCACGTACACGCCGCTGCACCGGGACCCGAACCCGAACCTCTTCTGCCAGCTGCACAGTCAAAAGGTTATCAGGCTGCTGCCGCCACAGCTCGGAGAGCGCATCTTTTTCGAGGTGCAGACTCAGCTCAGGCGGCGAGGCGGCGGCAGTAGTCGCATGCGCGGCACCGAGATGATGGAGGGTACCGAGCGCGCCCTGCTCTATGAGGCTGTCTGGGCAGACGGGAAACTTGCCGACAAGTTTCAGCAGGCTGAGCTGGATACCGGTGATTCCCTCTTCATACCAAAGGGTTGGTGGCACTCGGTCAAGAGTATTGGTTCCAGTGGAGCTCTCAACGCATCAGTCAATTGGTGGTTTCGTTAAAAAGCGTCTTGTCTGCAATGTAGATATACAATCCTGGATAACATTTTCGACATATAAGAGTTTAAAGAGTGCATCGCAGAAGGAGAGAAACGAGATTTGCGCAGAAATACAGGGAAAAAAAAAAGAAATGATGAGACTGGGACTTGAACCCAGGAGGATTGCTCCATCAGGAATGATTGCTAAGGTAACCTTAACCTGACGCCATAACCAACTCGGCCATCTCACCAGGGACTTCTCGTTGGAGGCTGTTTGTCACAGGGAAGGGTTATGTTACTGACTTTCGACCACCTCTGGAAACACTACCCTGTTGCTATGCAAAATTTGAATTGATTCTCCGTCTAATATTTGATATTTACACTACGGGAGGGAGAAGGGGGAGGGGGGAAAGAGGGGTTGTTCTTTGTCTCCTTTTCATCTAGCCGCACTACTAGTATGTCGCTATCATGTGCGTTCCGCTCCACCCTTTTACGCTACACCGTTGGAGTAAGGATCAAAGCCAACCTTCTTCTCGGCCTCTGCGCACGCCCTCCTGTGTGCCTCACCCACTAGGCCCGTTGTGGATGTCTCCTCTAGAAAAAATGCCATGACGTGGTCGGGTATGGAAAGGTGCGACGTTTGCTGAAACTCCTGGAGACTAGCCAGGCGGATGAGCATCTCTATGAGCGACAGGGATGTCGTGATTGCTCCAAAGGGGGTTTTGGCCACAGTGCCGCCATCACCAGCAGCGTCTTTCGGAGAACCACGAGGTTCCGGCTCCTGGATGGTCAGACTTTCAATCTGTGCTTCTACCCCGGAAATTCCGGATGGGCCATCGCTATCGTAACCTGACAAGGCAGATGTTGCCTCGGCAGATGTGCCATTCCTGGGTCCATCCGCGGCAGGAACGCTCTCGTCATCGTCCTCGATGTCTTCCTGGTACATTTCCACTGCTATCCATTCTGGGTCGAGGTGAAGGGGGAAACCACCTTGGTTGTGCTTGGCTGCCGTAATTGGCGAGCTACTTCTCTCGAGTATTTCCTCGTGGATCTGTCGGTCTATTTCATCCTGTAGATCTTGTTGGCATTCCTGGTCCTGTCTTTCTGCAGAATTGTACGAAGCAACCATGTCTGTGGTTGAGACGCTTGGCGAGGAGTTCACATCACGTTTCAGTAGGAGAACGGGGTTCTTCCCATCAGCTCCAGATCCATCGGACCCGAGGTTGAGAAGCCTACCGCTGTCCGTGTAGAAGAGCTTTGAAATCTGATGGAGGGGAATATATTCCTCAATCATCGGGGCCTCTCCTTCACGTAGCGTACTGCCGCTCTCTTCTTCTTCATGAACCCGCCCATCGTCTTGATCTTCGAAGATGTTAAGGTAGTAGGAGTACTCGGGTTCTTCATCGAGAGTTGTACGGGCTGCCCTGCGGATTGACACGCGTGCCTTGTGAATAACTTCCTGCCATATCGGCCTATGCTGGCCTTTTCCCAAGCCATATGGAGCGCATGATCTGCTGCTGGCGCTTCTGGTATGGCTCAGGAACAGCATGTATAGAGAGAGGCCGAATGTCGGTCCAACCTGTATCGGGTGTGTCGGGTTCTGCGAGAACTGGCTATCCGCAAGAGTAAGCAGCGTGCTCGCCTGTAGAAGCCTCGACGGCGAGATGAATGTGGGGAGAGAGCTGGAGAGACTCTCCCCCGAGGCGCTGATGGCCAGTTGTAGCAAGGGTATCTCCCTATCCAGACGGTTTAGCAGCTCCTGAATGTCGGCGATAACTTTCTGCATGTCAGCATTATGGGCCTTTCTAGGTCGCCCAGTTGTTGCCGTCATTGTCGCTGTGGTCGTTGCCATGGTCATGCTGGCCCTGCTGGCCGTGCTGGCGGCTTGATCGGTTTCACGGTCTAGGGCGAGGGCTTCTACGCGTTGGCCGAGGGCGATGATCTGTCGGTGCAGAGATTTTGTAAGAGGTAGGGCTGAGTCCAGAAATACGTTGCCTCGACCAGACCTACGATATCGGATATGTCAGATGACAGGCGCATGGGAAATAGCGGCGATGCGTGCCCAGTGCTCACTTGAATTCTACGAGATCAATCGTGGGGGCGACGACCTGCACTGCCATTAGCAAAAGAACGGGCAACACTTGTTGCATCCTCGTCACGTCTCACACCTTGATCTTGCTGTCCAGATGGGTTTGTAGATGGACGAGCTTCGAGTAGGTGGAATCATCATCGTCGACAGTCCTGAGGAGCCTCGCGCACTGGCCGATGGCGTACTGTGAGGTCAGAGCTATGCCGGACCTGATGGCATATCTCATTGCCTGGGAGCCAATGAGAGCGAGCAGGTCGTCCATGATGACACCGTAAACATGAAGGAAGAGCTTCACTTGAAGCCCAGTGTAAGGCTGACAAGATCCAAGGGATGAAGCGGAGATGTTAAGTGCTAAGACAAGTAACAGACACACACAGTACGAGTTGGAGTGACTCACCCACCCCGCTTGAGTCTCTACGTAAATGGTGGCAAAATACCCCCCCATATTACTAGAGGGGCAGTGGCACAGTGTGGTGCTGTGCGTTCGTTACCCGCAGCCACGCGATAGTAGACGTGACATATGTCGTCGAGGGGAAAGGGGTATGATGCATTATGCTATATGCCTGCCTGCCTGAGGATCTCATAAGAGTATTACATCCTATCATTAGGGAGACTATCAGATTGTCTAGTACATCTTCTGGCCCCATCCGTTTCTACGCCTGTTCACACTCTCAGCTAAATACGGTGCATGCAAGACACACGCACGGTGCCAGCCCCTCCAAACTCCCACGTTGGTGGGGCCTGAATTTTCACAAACGCCAGCCCTCATCGACATATTTCTCGATAAGTCAACCATTCAGAAAGTTCGGGATCTGTGCGCCGGCGCTCTAGAATATTTACAAGGGACTCGTTCAACCTTGGGCAACAGGAAGAAGAACGAATCGAATCGAAAAACCTCGCACTGACGTATTCGTCCGTGTGTGTGTGTGTGTGTGCGTGCGTGTGTGTGCCCCGCGCGCCAACCCGACTCGACGACCGAAAGGCCTCGCGGCTAGACATCAGGCAGGCAGATCATCAGACACTATTGCTCGCCCATCATGTCGAACCTCAACTCGTGGGAAGATGACCCCAGCGCCCAGCAGGACGAGAACCTCGCTCGTCAGGCCCAGCAGCAGCTCAACGTGAATCCCGCCGCTCAGGCCCAGCAGGGAGGCTTCCGCCCCGGTGGCGGCATCCCGTCCTTCGTGCCTGGAGCGCAGTCGTTCCAACCCGGCGCTCAATCCTTCCAGCCGGGACAAGCCTATGGCGGCGGCTTCGTTCCCCAGTACCAGCAGCAGCAGCAGCAGCAGCAGCAGCAGCACTATCAGCAGGGCTACTACCCTCAATACGGCGCTCAGCAGGGCTACAACAACCAATACGCCCAGTACGGCGGCTACAACCAGGGATACGGTAAATACCATGTATTCTGTCGAGAAGCGACTATCTGGTGTAGCTTGCAGGGATCTCTATCTCGCTAACTCACAAAACAGGCGGCGGTTACCCTCAGTACGGCCAGCAGCAGCAGCAGCAGCAACCCGTCCCACAGCAGCAGCCTGCAGCGGCAGCGGCTCCCGCGGCGGCCCCCTCGGCCCCCAAGGCTCAGACCACCGGCGGCACAAAGGTGCTCAGCATCGGCAGCGATGGCTCGGCGTCCAAGCCCACGACTACGACCACGAAGGAGGGCGGCACCAAGGTTCTGAGCATCGGCGGCGACACGCCGGGACCCAAGGCCAAGGTCAAGACTCTCTCTATCGGCGGAGCCACGCCTGCGCCGGCGGCGTCCAAGGAGGAGGCCAAGCCGGAGCCGACAAACGCGCCCGAGGCCGGGCAGAAGACGACGGCGGCCAAGGCCATCAAGAAGACGGGCGAGAAGACGACCAAGGCGGCGGCGTCGAGTGGCAAGACCTCGCCGACGTCTTCGGGCCGGTCGAGCCCGGTGCCGGACGCCAAGAAGGCGCAGCGCGACGCCGACGCCGTGACCAAGGAGCAGGCGGCCGACGTGGACGAGGACACCCTCAAGGAGATCTACGGCAAGGAGCACGTCAACATCATCTTCATCGGGCACGTCGACGCCGGAAAGTCGACGCTGGGCGGATCGATCCTGTGGACGACGGGCATGGTGGACGAGCGTACGATGGACAAGTACAAGAAGGAAGCCAAGGACCTGGGCCGCGAGTCGTGGTACCTGTCTTGGGTCATGGACCTCACCAAGGAGGAGCGTACCAAGGGCAAGACGGTCGAGGTGGGCAGGGGCTTCTTCGAGACGGAGAAGCGCAGATACAGCATCCTGGACGCCCCCGGCCACAAGACATACGTGCCCAGCATGATTGGCGGAGCGTCGCAGGCGGACGTGGGCATCCTGGTCATCTCGGCGCGCAAGGGCGAGTACGAGACGGGATTCGAGAAGGGCGGACAGACGCGCGAGCACGCCATGCTGGCCAAGACGCAGGGTGTCAACAAGCTCGTCGTCGTCATCAACAAGATGGACGACACGACGGTGGAATGGTCGGAGGAACGGTACAAGGAGTGCACGACGAAGCTGCAGAGCTTCCTCAAGGGGACGGGCTACAACCTCAAGACGGACGTCTTCTTCATGCCGGTGGCGGCGCAGTCGATGCTCAACATCAAGGACCGGCTGCCCAAGGGCACGGCGCCCTGGTGGAACGGTCCGTCGCTGCTCGAATACCTGGACAACATGAAGGCTCTGGAGCGCAAGGTGAACGCGCCCTTCATGATGCCGGTCAACTCCAAGTACCGCGACCTGGGCACCATGATTGACGGCAAGGTCGAGGCCGGCGTGGTGCGCAAGGGCATGTCGCTGACCATGATGCCGCGCAAGACCAACATCGAGGTGAGCGCCGTATATGGTGAGCAGGAGGACGAGATCGCCATCGCGCAGTGCGGCGACCAGGTGCGGCTGAGGCTCAAGGGTGTGGAGGAGGAGGACGTGCTGCCGGGATTCGTGCTGTGCTCGCCCAAGCGCCTGGTGCACTGCGTGTCCGAGTTTGAGGCGCAGATCCGCATCCTCGAGCTCAAGAGCATCCTGACGTCGGGCTTCAACTGCGTCCTCCACGTCCACGCCGCCATCGAGGAGGTGACGTTTTCGGCCCTGCTGCACAAGTTGCAGAAGGGCACGGGCCGCAAGAGCAAGGTGCCGCCCACGCACGCCAAGAAGGGAGACAGCATCATTGCTCGTCTGCAGGTCATCGGTGCCGCTGGGCAGGTGTGCGTCGAGAGGTTTGAGGATTATGCTCAGATGGGTCGATTTACTCTTCGTGACCAGGTACGTCCCCCCCCCCCCCCCCCCCCCCCCCCCCCCCCCCCCCCCCCCCTGGGGGGCTTTCTCTTATTCTCTCATCCAACACATTTTCCCTCTTCATCGTTTCATCTTCATCTGTCATCTCCTACGTGATTACCTTTTTTTTTTNGTCTGCAGGTCATCGGTGCCGCTGGGCAGGTGTGCGTCGAGAGGTTTGAGGATTATGCTCAGATGGGTCGATTTACTCTTCGTGACCAGGTACGTTTCGGACCCGCCCCCCCCCCCCCCCCCCCCCCCCCCCCCCCCTTGGGGGGCTTTCTCTTATTCTCTCATCCAACACATTTTCCCTCTTCATCGTTTCATCTTCATCTGTCATCTCCTACGTGATTACCTTTTTTTTTTTTTCTATACTCTTTTTCAAGATGAGATACTGACAAAGCTGCACCAACAGGGTCAAACCATTGCTATCGGGAAGATTACCAAGCTCATTACCGAACCCTAAATCGGGAATGTCAGGGGTGGATTTTTTTTACGACGTCATGAGCCGAGAAGAGGCGAGAAGAAGAGAAGAAGAAGAGAAGGGAAAGGTAGGGACGTCTATATATGGCGGATGCGTGATGGAGTTTGTGATGCCAGCCAGATGTGATGATGGAGAGAAGAAAAGAGGGATTATTGATTGGTGCAACAAGAACGAAAGAAACACTAAAAGAACAAGAGTAAAAAGAGCCAAATGGAACATGTCGAGTCTGCCCGAGTCATAGTCGCAAACCGGGTGTTACCCGCATCTTTACGGAGTAACACTGCAGACGGCGATGACGGTGTATCATGGTGCAAGATTGCTGGTGTACCTGCAACAATAGAGAATATCCGTCGTAGACCGCGGGTATTCGGGTCCGGATGGACGGAAGGAGAAAGCCTTAGGGAGGGAGAGCCGAAGACCCACTTGTCGTTACAGGTATGAATATAATGTGGACCGAGCTATGGATGACGTTTCTCATGAGAGATGAAGTACGAATGAAGATTGCCAATGGAGAAGGAAGCTATCAGAGGGAAGAGAGGGAGTCACTGGATGAAGAGGGGTTATGAAAGAGAGAAGGAAGACTGATCAGAGCTGTCTTTTTTTTTTTTTTTTTTTTTTTTTCAGAGAAGATCTAGAGAACAGAGATTGAGAGATTTGAAAGTGAAGAGCATCGTATCGATCAATACTTGAAACAGAGGCATGACAATAGGAAAAGAAGAAGGGCGTCAGAGGATTCCACTCATCCTACAAGTTACGGATTAGAAGTGGCAGATGGGAAAATGCTAATCTTGCTTACTTGCAGGAACAAGGTGGGGGTGGGGGTTGGGGGGCGGTCATATCTTTCTTTGGTTCCTGGGAGAGAGTAACGATACAGAGAAACGAAAAAGAGTCGGAAGAGACCACCAGGACAAGAAAAGATGGCACGGGAGAAGAAGAAAGGGGGAGGGGAGAGGCGGGGAGAAAAAAAAAAACAAGAAAGAAAAGAGAAAGAGGGCAGGTACTATTAATGGAAGTACATGCACCAATACCGGTAAAGTAGCCCTACCAAGCATAAACGCATATAGCAAAGGGGAAAAGGCAAGAGTACCGTACCGGATCTGTGGACCGGCGGCTTCTGACGGAGCGGGACACATGAGGAGGGAAGGAGGGGGGGGGGGGGGGGGCGCGCCTCCGAGATGAGACCGTGGTCGGTCATCATCCGAGGGGATGGGGAAAGACGGGAGACACATGTGGGGGATGGTACATGCGACTTGTCATTGCGTTGATATTGGGAATGGGTAAGAGGAATGGAAGGTGGAAAAATGCAATCATATTATATTATATCAGATTATATATATATATATATATATGTGTGTGTGTGTGTGTGTATGGATAATACAATGTGAAGATAAAAGCATAAAAATGTCATATATATATATATATACAGGATAAAGAAGGAAAATCGTCAAGATGGTCGACTTACACCGGAGTGCGGAGAGAGGGGGGAGATTACATAACTAGCTACAGGTACCAGGTATCAGGCATCAGTAGCTGCGCGGGGGGGGGGGGAGAGACGGGGTGTGCGAGTCACTGACGAGCGGGGCAGAGGCTCGGGCTCAGCACCTCGTTAACATGGTTCATGGATGATGGCATTGCATGGTCCCGTGGGATTGATCGTATTGCGGAGGAGGATCCGTTGGGTGTGTCGATATAAAGACTACCTGGGCCTGCGGTTGCGGTTGCGGTTGCGGTTGCGTAGGCGGAAAAAGTCGGGATGCGATCGGTGGGAAGGGAGGGGGCAGCTGTAATGGTAGTAATAATGATAGATGGCAGTAGCAGTATTCACTATTAGCAGCAGCAGCAGCAGTAGCAGTAAGAAGTCAGGGTAACAGTAGTAAAATTTGCTATACGGTGAACGGGATGATTGGAACAGAGCGGGAATTTGTATAGTAATACTTGTGGTCTCCGTAGACATGTGCAGGATGTGCATGGTGGTTAATTGTGATGTGAGGCTGGTGATTCTGATATCCATCTCTACATCACATGTAATCACGATGCATGTTCAACTGCCTCGGAATTGACTCGATGTTGAAGGTAGATATACCGTGTGCGGAATCTCTGTATGCAATCACGTCTGTACAATTCGGTTCATTCTGTCGATCCTGGTATTTCTGCATCAGTAGATGTAGAGGACCGGCATGGAACCATGGACAGCCAAAGGGGCAGGCACGACCAGCACCCACCTACCCACCACCCAGCAAGAGCACGTTTAGATGACGTCGCTCGTTGCTCGTCACCCGCCCACTTCGAGTCACCACCATCTCACCTGTTCCCAGGCCATGCCGACTCCGTTGCAGCGTGTCCCGGGACGAGGAGAGGAGGAATGCATCGCCTACTCGTACGTAGTAGCCATGCACATGCATCTCTACTGAGACATGTACGGGTTATCGGATGCCGGACCAGAGGAACACGATGGTTTTCTTCTTTTTTTTTTTTTTCGCTACAGGCTCCAGTACGGCACACACGCGCACATACCCACTGGACCGTTGACGGGACCAGAGACCACACCATCCACCCACCGGCTACCACCATCCCGCCGGTTTAGACACCCGTCACCGCGACAGCCTCTCGATAAGCTTGTATACATGTACAGCAACCTCGTAAATGTGACGGCTGATGTAGCACGGAGCCGGGCTGTGGATACGATATTGCTCAGATTCGCTGTCTCGTCTCGGCTATCCGGCCAGCTCGCACTCTGCATGTCCCCTGTACCTCTCCAGCTCTCATTCCCAAGCAGAGAACGGTACAGGTCTGTAGAAGACACCCCCGTAAAGCTCCGATATATGACAAGTTTTTTTTTTTTTTGTCTCTTTTTTTTTCACTTTTTTTTTTACTTTTTTTTTTAAAAAAAAAAAAAAAGAAGAGTAAAAATACATTAAACAGATAAACCTTTTAGAGAGAGAGAAAAGGGAGAAGAGAGAGAAGAGAGAGAAGAGAGAGAAGAGAGAGAAAAGAGAGAGAGAGAGAGAGAGAGAGAGAGAGAGAGAGAGAGAATCCATAATCCATCCTCACAGTACCACCAGTACCACCATAATAATAAAAACATCTTCTTTAGCCTTTTCATCCGCCCAACCCTGCTCTGCTAGTCGTGACTTGACCGATTGGGCAAAGCGTCTTCCACACCCCGCAATCTGGATCGACCCCCCCCGTCCCCT